GACGCAGAGACAGATTGAAACTGCTAATTATGGGTGCTTGCTTTATCTTCATTATCTGTAGAGTAGACCATATTTTTTCAGGGGACTAATACTTTACAGATCGAGTCGACTGTTTTTCAAAAAGCTGAATAATTTGGAAGATTTAAAGTCAGTAGGTGTATATTCACGTGTTTTTGCCGTTCCTACGATATCCTCTACATACCTTTCGTGGGATACCTTGGTCATCTTTTGTACTAGATGTTCGCATGCCTCTGTCATACTTGACCGGATTGAGCCTCCGAACGTGAAACGGATGACATATTTGTATATCCGGTGATGTTCGTCAATATTCGTTTTATGTCAGTTTTATGTTAGGAACATTCGTTTCATGTCAGGTGATGTGCGGTGTGTCCGCTTGCATCCGTTAGAAAAATCTGTGCATGCACAAAAATTGAAACGGACTGTGACGAACAAGAATATTCGTTGGTTGTCCTGTGCATGTCCGTTTTGTCCCGTATATCTTCTGTCATTGTTCGCAATTCCTTCGTTTATATGCTCTAGGTGTACGGGGGGAATACGTTGTCCAGTCCGTAGATGGAACTTGAACGCATACGCCACGCATTAACCGGACCTTAAACGAACACCTAACGGACAAACACAGGATGCCTGCAGGATTAACACCGGACACGATGAATAGACAAACGAATTGAAAAACAGATAAAACGTACAGAACTGATGAATACAGAATACCTACAGAATACCTGCAGGATAACTACAGGGGGAGGAACTGACTACCGGCAGAACCTGATCATCCCAAGGTTCTTGGAAGCTTCCAAATCAGATTCACAGACAGTTTTCCAGCATTACCATGGCTTGTCAGGCTAAAGTTTCCTGCAGTTTAGGGCCGCCTTACTGCAGGCAGAAATGCATATGAACAATGTTCAGATGGACCTTCAGCAGTATCTTTCCCACAAAAGAAGAAGGCGCCGCAGGGGTCAGCGAAGACGATATTGGTCGAGGTCATGACTGAGCCCGGAGAGTCGAATGCAGTTCGGCCTGTATGACCAAATCATGGTAGAATTGCGGCGGGAGGACCCTGCCGCCTTCTGCAACTTCATGCGCATGCATCCGGAGATGTTTGACGAATTCTTGACACCTGTGGGGCCACGCATCACCAAAAACCAGACCTGGATGAGGGAACCGCTGGAGCCAGGGTTGAAGTTGGCCCTCACACTTCGGCATTTAGCATCAGGGGCAACGTACATGGACATAAGCTATGGCTGGAGAGTTCCACACAACACCATCTCCCTCGCTGTCAGAGAGGTAATTATCATTTTTATTATCTTTCATTTTTTCATGTATTTATTGCATTTATGTCCCTTTTATTGAAACATTATTATTAAAATGTCCCGAAGGTCTGTATACCAGGTCTTCAAATACTCGACTGAAAATACAGAAACAGAAACAATATTAAATACGAGAACTGTTCGCAGAATCTGGCAATGCATGATCAGTGACAAACCTAATTAACTCAACAATTGTGCAATTTATGGCAAATCTCATACTTTTATGAAATCCAAAATATTACAACATATATAAATGCACATTTGGGCCTTTTTCCTATTACAACATCAATCTTACACATTTGGGCCATCTTCCTATGACAAATCTCACAACAACATCAAAGACAAATAGATAAATAAATGGAAACTTACCATCATAGTTAAGCCCTTCAGCCTGCTCAGCCCACAAGCGGTCATGCTTGGCCTTATTCTTGAACTCCTTGTCTTTGGAGTTCCATAGTAAGGGATTGGCGTCTATCCACTCTAGCACCAGGGCCTCTTCCTTCTCATCTTTCATATGGCGACTTTTCTTGGTTCTCTTCTTGGCAGTCTGTCGCCCAGCTTCTTCAAAACCTTCTCCAATTTTACCTGCACCATCACCTATCTCTTCGCCACCTTCAACTGCAACAGGCACGTCATCACCACCTTCATCATGCTGAGTTTGTATTTCCTCATTTTCTTGTGTAGATTCTTGTGCAACAGCATGGATTTCAGCATCAACAGCCACCTCTTCTGTCTCTTTTTCTTTTCCGGGCACATTCTTCATGTTCTTCTTTGCATTCCTTCCACGAGGCATTGTGGAGATGCAGTCAGCAGTGCAACTTTTCGAAAACTGATCCGCTGGAGAAATGCGTTCGCAAATATACCATGTTGTTTCCTGTACGCGCCCGTTGATGTCCGTTATGTGTTCGGTTTGTCCGGAATGCATCCTGTACGCGTCCTGATTGGCCGGTTCATGTTCGTTTGTTGTTCGTCACTCATTCGGAGACACTTGGCTGGTTGAACTGTAGCCGTGCGTTACATGTTCGTTACCGGTACGAGTACGTCCGTTGTTTGGGGTTTTCTACCGGACTGACCACTTTGCAACCGGATAACAAAAATTCCTATACGTTGATGTACGGAACCCCAATCCGGTCAAGTGTGACAGAGGCATACGTGACTAGGAATATTGGTAACTCGAATTACAAGTGTTGGACTGTCTATTAAAGAATATCTTTAGAATATTATCTTCCCTTTAGATATACTTTCAATCTGGACTAAACTATTGCCATTCATCATATTGATGAAGTCCCGATAAATAGGTAGAGCTGGTTGGTCATCTTTTATAGTTGGGAAGGAGCTTTTCCATGTACATTTTTTGATAATTAAAATCACGTGCAATCAAATTATGTTTTTTCTTCTTGATCAGAGCAATTGACTTTTCTAGCTCTTCAGCACTTTTGGTTTGTAATAGGAATTAGTGAAGTTATTTGCTGCCATTTATTTCCAATATTATCCATATAGCTTCATAGCTCGTTTCCAGATGATTTTGTTCACTACTTATCATGTCATTTCTTACCAAAAGGACAACACCGTCCCCTCTACTACCTGTTTTCCTATCATTTCTATAGGGGGTATAACCAAGTGATTGTGGAAATAACCCACCATCATAAATACTTTCTGTAAGCCAGGTCTCTGTGCCTGCTACACTGTCTGGTTTTACAATCTCCTGCATAGCATGAAATTATGTTTTTTTTTTATCTTAATGTATTGAATATTTCCATTTGTTTTAATTTTAATTTGTTTTCCATTTTTAGTTCAGACAGATTTTTTGAAAATGTTAGATGTCATTTCATGTTCTACATTCTCATGACGCTCGTCCAGTGTGTTAAACGTGTAATAGGAGGATTAGGATGACAAGGATGTCTCGAATAACATGTTTGAGTGGTTTGAAGAGCCACAGTGTAAACAAACTCACGAGATACTCTCATGATATCAAAGGATGTTGTAAGTTACTGAGCCAATATTTTGGTAATGAGTGGGGTACCAAGTCTAACATTCGTTCCATTGTAGTTTTGTGTGCTAGTGTAACCTTTAACATAGAGGTCAAACTTGTGAAATAAGTTAAGTTTTCCAGTGTAAACTATCCATGCTCAAGTAGGTGACAATCTTTACACACTGTTTTGTCAGTCCACACTCCAACACAAAACGACTTAGAATACACGTGAATATCTGACAATAGACATATAACTAATTGTATCAAATATTCACTTATCTTCTTTTTTAGTTTATCTCAAGATTATTAAGTGTTTATAATCTTAAGTTATGTTAATTACAACGATTGTCAACGTTGCGGTTTTAAATATCATTCTTGCTTTCTGTTGATGGACTATTAGTTCGGGAGGATGTAACCACTTAGGTCTGCTAACATTAAAATTGTCAAGTTCATCATATGCATTTGTCACAAATCAACATAGAAAGAATCCGTTTTGGCCGTTGTGGTGTGTTCAGTTAGATACACAACCTAGAGGCTATAGGTTTACAAACGTTGTGGGTAATTGGAATCTCCGAAATAAACTGGGGTGATTTAGTCTAAGCTATCTTTATCTTGTATTTGCATGTCTCGTTGTCTTTTTCAGTATTTTTAAGACCGGTCAATGTTAAGATTGATACTTGGCATTCTTGAATATTCAAGACTGTCCAATGATGAATTGAGCATTCAACATCCCACTGGATGATGGTGTAGATAGTCATGCAATCAGTGAACGAAAAATGAATATTGGTCTTTCACAAATGTCCAATTGAATGATCAAACTATCATTTCAAGTTTTTAAGTCGGAATGAAAATTTTGACACTCGATAATATGCATTGAATGGTGTACTGACCGCTGGATGCTCATTAACGCCAATTAAATGCTTAATATCAAACTGGACATTCGCAAACGTCCCATTGCCAAGTGGTGTTTAGTTCCTGAAACATTCAATCAATGATCGTTTGAATAATGGACGAAATGTTTAAGCAGTTGCTCCAACTTCGGGTTTTGATTGTAGCGTTTGAATTTTGTTAACCCTTTCACCCCTAGGTAACTTGAGTGGACTCTTCCATGCATTTTTTTGGATGAATCCATTATGGTCTACAGTGGTGAACGGGTTAACTTAAAGCTTAAGGATCCCCATACCATTACCAAAAGCTAAACCTTCGCATTAGAAACCCGTTTTTTTCAGGAACAACTAAAGCTTTGATAAATCACTTCTGAATAGAAAACCATACCTTGTTGGATTTTTTTATGACAAACAGTAAATGTGAAATAAACAAAATATAATTAATAACAGTGCTTTTGGGGTAGAAATTTTGCGCAGCTAGACCGGGATTCAAACACTGCAGCTCCAGATTGTTATACTATCGCTCTGACTGACAGAGTTACCTGGTAAATGCAAATGTCTTGACCTAATTTTGCAGCATATATATCCAAAACAAAATTAAGGGAATGTTACTGTAAGGGAACGTTATTTTTTTCTTGTAATTACATAATTTTGTCTGATGTTCACATGCTTTGACTGGTAAGTGAGTATTGAAATTTCTACTAAACTGTATCAGGAACGTAGCTGTTATTGAACAATGGCCAATTTAATAAACATAATGTTTCTGGAAAGAATGAAAGGTAAGGTTAAAAATACATACATGAAAGTAACGTCAAATTAGGTTATTATCAAATTTTTATTTAATAGCTTTGCACTCTGATCAATCGGAAAATAAGATCATACATTGTAAGGTATAATAGCTAACAGATTCAGTGGACACATCGCCAGTTGCATCTTTCATACTGAACTACCTTACAAATATATAATATTAACAATAATTAGTCATATCACATACCACACAATGTACATGCATCAAAAATAATCATGGTTTGAATTATAATTTGTTATCGAACACTTCCATACTAAATAAAACACATTCATATCGTATAAAATATATTTCTGTGTTTACTGTTTAACAGGCAATGCAAGTCAGGGACATAAGACTACAGCATGAATGGGTGTAATTTTAACAGTGGGGGGATAAAGCGTAATTAGTCTTTTGTATACATCATCGATTTCTAATTTATAAAGATGGTCCAGCTGGGTGTGTGTTACGTTCTATCCTATCACTACTATTACACACATTTCAAAACAAGGTTTGGAGTTCCTGTCTGGTTGCTTTCATTCCTTTCTACATTGATGAGCTGGTCCTGGCTGATAGCATCTTGGGATTCAGCAATCCGCGATTGAGATATACATCAATTTATCCCAAAACAAGAAATCGCCAATAGTGATATGGCCAGACTGCTACAGTACATTTTCATGTAAAGCATCACATGTGATAAGCATCCTTTAAGATACATAAGCCATGCAAGTTTAGTAGATGTACAACAAGTAGTTACTTAATAACTGACCTTAACCAAAGTTCTTAACCTGGTCACTGAAGTGGAAAATGTAGGTCAGAACCAGTATCGGCAGCATCTCATGTGATAAGCACCCTTAGATACAAAAGCATGCAAGTACCTATAGTTGATGAAGGACAAGTAGTTACCTGTAAGAAACCTAAACCAATCTTCTTAACCTGGACACTGAAGCGGAAAATGTAGCTCAAAAGCAGCATCCGAAGCATTACATGTCATAGGCATCCTTAGATACGTAAGCCATGCAAGTTTAGTTGATGTGGGATAACCATACTTCTTAAGCTTAGTGCAGACAGACAGACGGATGGACGAACAGGAATTGCCAATCTATAAGCCCCGATTGCGTTGCAATCCGGCCAACAACATACTTCACCCCTTTAAGATTGAAACTTAAATGGATCTAAACTCCTTACAAAAACTGACCCACAGATTTTAGTTTTATGCAATTGGCATTTTTTTCTCTGCTTGCCAAAAATTATAACAAGTCATCAAAATAGCCTTTTACAGCTCTGCAGACTGTATAGAGTGCAAATATCTGTTAAGAAGTCATTTGATATGAAATACATGTATATACTCATTTTTGATATGCCTACACGGAAATATTTTCCTCTATAAAAGCAAAAACATCCCTCCAAAAAACAGTGAAAGAAAAATATCAAGCTGCTAGCCATGTATGTTTTATGTTGATAAAAGAGTTTTTAGAGACAGTGTGGACATTTTTGTGTTGATAATGATTTAGAAATGCTTATAATCTATATATCCGTAATCTATATAATTCGCATGTGGATATTTCTGTGCTAATTTACAGATCAGGAATAACACACAAACATTTCCACATCCCAAAATTTTCCACATTTACAGTTTTAATTTTATATAATGATCAGAATTGTATTTTCTGTATTAAAGCCGCAGATTTTCTCTTCCAGCTGCTGGCTTAGTGATGGAAGAATCGGTGGTCATGTTATACAACCTTGGTACATACAATAAGTTAATTACATAACTTTATAATTGGAAACATTATTGCAAGCAAAACCTACCACATAACAGCAGAAAACAGTATATTTGTGTTGAGAAGCTCCTTCCGACAGGCATTCAGCCATGTTGTTAAGCATGATGTCATGAAAATATGGTGTCAAAGATTGCTCATGCAGTTACATTTTGCCATAATTTTATTGATGCTGCACTTTATTCGTTATTCCTTTGTTACATACACATCGACACCACTTCTGATAAACCATCAAAGACGTTCTACAGTTTTGGATTAACGGAATCAGTATTAAACCCCTTTGAACTCCTTTGTAAAACAATTCCACAGGACAGAAATCGTGAGTGGGACGTTTTTTGGTTGTTCATTCTTCCTTGTACTTATCTTCAAAGTAATCATTGATGAATTGACTGTTCTTTTTACTGAAAGTGAAAAAAAAAGCAACATTAATACAATTATGTAGGTTAAATGGGCCTGTATTGCTCTCCTGTAACCTTGTACTAGTGTAACAACATGTACAATCAAAAGAACAGACAGACAAGATGGCCCCACAATGTACCCAGCTTATTTCAGTAGAATGGTCTTGTCCTAATTATTTAACATTCAGTTTCAAATTTATTTTACTCGTGGAAGCTCCGTCTCAAATTTTTGAAAAATGTCTTTCACCATTTGGGAATATCTATTTACACAAGAAAATATCAGTTAGACATGACTTCCCCCATTCCTATGAAATCAGTGTCAATGTTTGATAAAGTTCTATAAATAGTAACTGTTCAGTTTGACTTGACATTGGAACTCTGAAAAACCTATTTTATTTGAGGTTTTCACATACGTGATACATGTATAAAGTTTGATCAACTTCTGGTTAGAAATGATGTCACTAGAGTGATAACACTGAGGGGACAGACAGTACACAACAGGACAGGACACAACAGGACAGGGCGTCTGGACAGGGGTAACACTGAGGAGGACAGACAGTACACAAGAGGACGGGACACAACAGGACAGGGCTATCTGGACAGGGGTAACACTGAGGGGGACAGACAGTACACAACAGGACAGGGCCGACTGGACAGGGGTAACACTGAGGAGGACAGACAGTACACAACAGGACGGGACACAGCAGGACAGGGCCGTCTGGACAGGGGAAACACTGAGGAGGACAGACAGTACACAACAGGACGGGACACAACAGGACAGGGCCATCTGGACAGGGATAACACTGAGGGGGACAGACAGTACACAACAGGAAGGGACACAACAGGACAGGGCCGACTGGACAGGGGTAACACTGAGGGGGACAGACAGTACACAAAAGGACAGGACACAACAGGACAGGACACAACAGGACAGGGCCGTCTGGACAGGGATAACACAGAGGGGGACAGACAGTACACAACAGGACAGGGCCGACTGGACAGTGCCGACTGGACAGGGGTAACACTGAGGGGGACAGACAGTACACAACAGGACAGGCCCGACTGGACAGTGCCGTCTGGACAGGGGTAACACTGAGGGGGACAGTCGGTACACGACAGGACGGGACACAACAGGTCAGGGCCGTCTGGACAGGGGTAACACTAACCCATTAAATGGTGGGGCATACTGAAATAAAGATCTAATGCCATCAGATTAATTGTTATAAAGAGGAAATATTTTGATACAGGTTGAGTAGTCCAGGTTTTCTCTGGCCCTGACACCAGACTTAGACATTTTGACAGATACATGTCTAGCCCACACTGGAAAGAGAACTACCACCTTGAAAGAGAGGGGAACTGCTTTTGAGGATACAAAATGTATATATTTTTGTGTATATTCATGTACATTGAAACCCTACTTCATGAACTTGTTACTTGAGCACTGTTCATTCGTCAAATATTTCGCTTGGTCTTGATCAGGTTCTTTTTTGTACTTTGTAAAGAAACCTGGAATTACTTGAACTGCCTTGTGTTACTCAAACTGATTTATCCCTCACTATAAATGTCCTTGGTATTTATCCTATTTGTTCATTGACTCCGTAGTCAAACCTGTGTATCTCACAGGAAGTGTTAATTTACTAGGTTTGTAAAACCATATTTTGACATCGCAATATGAAGCAGAAATAATACAGCGGATTTTTAAAGAAAGTCTAACCTAAAGACATTGTTAATATTAATATTGTTATAAATCAACAATATAATAACATGTCTTCAACATTTCTTCATTTTAGAAAGATCCAACAGTTCTTCTCTTTTTATATTCCCTAGAATTAACGTAGTTGAATACAATGTGCCAGACTATGTCCAAATGATAGGTTTACATATATCGTTTCTTTATTTTAATTCTATTCTTAATACTGATGGCTGTTTGTTTTCATTGTTGAGCAGTTTAACATATTATTAAATGTTGTCATCTTTATTAAACATATTTTTGGTTTCTATCATCTACTATTTGCGATATGAGTGCGGGTCAAGCTGCCTGCTCTCCTACCTGGTCAAATATGTCAAACTAACCACGGATTCCATGAATACCATGTATTCCCAGATCCTAAAAGTTTGAGTTAGTAGGGTTTTACTGTACTTACTCTGCAGAATAACCCATTAAAAAATCGTCGTATGAATTTTTATAGGACTTTTGTTGTAATTTCTTGTCGTCATCATTGAAGGATACACTGAAAAATAAAATATGAAAGACTTTTGTAAAACCACACAAACATCAATACTCATTGACAGATAAAATTTCAGCATAATCTAGAACACAGACAGGTCAGCAAGTATGCCCCAAATGTCTATTAATTGTATCATGAACCTTGATCTTGAAATTATTTAAAAACTCTATTCCACATCTTAATACCAGTGTATTACCATGTCAAATTTCAGAAAGATAAGGCTTTTGTATTCCAAGACTTTTGTATTGCCACACAAGACATCAATACTCAGCGACACAGACATGTTTAAACAAAAGATATCCTGGTACAGATCAAAGTTCAGTGTAATCTAGAACTCGGACAGGTCAGCAAGGGCCAAGCCATTTACCTGACCATACACTACATGGTATATATCAAGTAAAAATAACCTTGACCTTAAAACTGTTCAACCCCTACTACACATAACGTCTGTGCATTAAAAATGTTGAGACGGTTTCAAAGATGGCAGCTGTTGGAGCAAGTAGGTTTAAATCCAGGTCACCACCTCTTATAAACGCATATTTCTCCTTGTTTGTAGGATATTTTGCAACCAGTGTCGATACTTATTCATCTTTAAAGGCTCTTCACCTATACTACTCACATTTCGCTAAGGATCACTTTTATTTTTGGGCATCTTCACCTATACTACTAACATTTTGCTAAGGATCACTTTTATTTTTGGGCATCTTCACCTATACTACTAACATTTTGCTAAGGATCACTTTTATTTTTGGGCATCTTCACCTATACTACTAACATTTTGCTAAGGATCACTTTTATTTTTAGGCATATGTGAAAATAGATATTTTATTTGGTTTATACTGAGATTACTTTTGAAAAATTGATTGTTCTTTTAATTCATCAGCATGCAAAAATTCCAAAAATCGTAATGACAGTCGGAAAATGGGCCAAAGGCAAAGAGTTAACTTAAAATTGGTAACAACGAGGTGTTCACTAAAAAACTTAAATTGAACAAAACTCATCCTAAATAAATAGAAACTGTTTTAGTAACGAGTGTGACGCCCATGAGCATCAATTACAGCTTCACATCGTCTGCGCTTGCCCCTAATGAGATCGCTTATCCGGTTTTGTGGGATAGTGTTCCACTCAGATACCAAAGCTCCTGGAGCATTCTTGGCAGAACATTTCTGGCAGAGAGAGCAGTCTGCAGCATGTCCCACACATGCTCAATGGGATTTAGATCCGGGCTGTAAATCCGGGCTGTGACGGTACCATTATGGAAGACACGGAGGTCAGTTTTCTCACGACAGCTTATGCCTCCCCACACCATCACTGAACCTCCGCCATATCGGTCATGTTCCACAACGTTACCTGTCTGGAACCTCACCCCAGGTTGTCTCCATACTCTAACGCACCTATCGGTAAGTTGAGACAGAATCTGGACTCGTCAGTAAAAAGAACCGGTTCCCATTCCTGAAGAGTCCAAGTGCTGTTAGCTTGGGCCCAATCTAATCGGTCCCTAACATGGCGGGCAGTTAAGGGAACTAATATTGCTGGTCTATGTGACCTTAGACCAGCATCTTGAAGACGGTTACTAACTGTCCGAGTGGCTACCCAGGTACCAGAAGCATTTAGGAGGTCATTTCGTAAAGCTGTGGCAGTCTGGAACCTGAAGCCCTTAAACGACCTCCAGCATGACGTCTGGAAAGGTTTCCGTTAGTTTGGAAACAATTCCACATTCTTGCCACCACACTTTGAGACACCCCTATGTCTGCTGCAACCCGACGTTGAGACATGCTAGCTTGCAGCATTCCGATGCACCTAATCATTTCATCGTCATTGAACCGTTGTCTCGTTCGTCTTTGTGCCATATTAAAACAAAAACACACAAAGAATAATCATCAAATTGATTTCCTTAACATTTTGAACAACGCCTTACCTAGACTAACTTAACTGTTGAAAGGGGTGTACACGTGGAAAAGCGTGCACGCACTTTTATGGTTGACTGAACACACCTACACAGGACGAATTGGAAGGCTAACATATTCGCCCAAAACAATACAGAAGGAAAATACAATATCCTTTCTAACATTTTTTTCTTTTTTCAAAATATAGATGATCTATAGCAAAATATGAGTACATGAAGTATATATCTACCCTATATAACAAGCCATTTGGATTGATATGTTTGCCTGTGCCCCGCTTTGACCATCAATGCACATATCATAGAAACTAACTTAAAGGCAAACACTTAATGTTGGCAAAGTGAATAGACCATGAAAGGTAGACAGCATCCAGCATTTGATGCATGGGTTGAGATGTACTACCTAAGATAAATCTATCGTCCAAGTTTGGTTGGTCTAGCACTTATACTTGCAGTGAAACTAACTTAAACGCAAAAACTTAATGTTGATGCCGCTGTTGCCTTAGTCTCGCTGTTTGTGGCGGCGAGACAAAAACTTTTTGTTGTTTCACTTTAAATTGGAAATTGAATGGATTTCCCCTATTCTATGCCTCTGTGTCCCCTGTGTTTAACAAAATTACTCTATAAAACAGTTAACCCCTGTAGAACATTCACCATACGTATACTAGGTCTGGTATGTTGGTGTTGTACTTCCTTGTGTTCTACTTCTCATTAATAACTATGGCCATTTAACAACATGGCAGTTTTTGGTGGTGGAGGAAAATTGGAGTGTCCAGAGAAAAAAAATGACCCATGGCCAGTATGGTGCGATTGACACTGCCCCATCCAGGCATGCTACTATTCCATCATGTCAAAACATACTTACAGAACTAGCACATGGAGAGCAATCATAATGGCAACTAGAATCTTCATATCTTTAATAAACATTCTCCTTGCATGTGCTACATTTGGCGTCCTTTCCCTCAACGTGTGTAAATACCTGTAAACAAAAACAAGATCACAAGGGTAAATATGTCTATTTGTAGTCAAAATAAATTAAACATTGAGCAGTGTTTGAACTTACGGTAGACCCATGGCCATAGTCAATCAAAAAACATTGGGCTATAGGATAACTTCACAGGCAAAATTGTCTATGACATTTTTCCAATCGAGTCCAGATTCAACTATAGGTAATGTAGACCATCATAATTTAGCCCTTTAAAATCAGCAAGAAAACTGCTTATACATGTGTATAAAAATAGCTAAAACAAGTTCGTTTATTGTAACTTTCCAAACATACCAGGCTACAGCATGCTCCTGTTTAAACCTCAAATTATAATCTTCATCTCTCTCATTTTCGTATCTTTCAGGCACATAATAATCATCTTCCTCAAACACAGACTCGAAGGTGACCTGGTTGTATATTTCGCGGAGATTTTCATCACTTAAACAAGAGTAGGCTTCGTTGATAGCAGTTATTCTCGCAGTGGCTGTCGGATCTCCGGTGTTGACATCTGGATGATACTGAAATCAACAGCATTGAACGGTCAGGGAAAAGGCAAAGGGAAATAACTCAAATTAATTTTAAATCTAAAACAACACCAGCAGAATACCAGGTAGTTATAAAAGTTCTCAAGGAATTTGAATTTGTAATTGAGTGTTCTCGGGAGCAGATGCGATCTACATAATGTCATTTATATATGAAATTAAAACTATTTTGGACATAAAAGTGGGAAGAGATACATAAAGAACTAACAACCAGTAAATATGTATGCTGTGTTAATATTCCCATTTTTCAGACATGTATACTAGCTGCAACGTCCTTTACTTTATTCCATGTATAGGCATGGTCCCAAGTATTAACCTTGAATGCAGAAACAAAATATTGCATGTCAGAGCATTTTTTTAACTGCTCTTTATTTCTTTTTATTTCACATACAAACCTATACCAGGTACAATCTAATAAAAAATCAGCCCTCTCCAAACTGCTTTTGTTACTTATGTCTCTCAGTTAAGGAAACGAAGCAGTCATGAGAGTTGTCTTATTGTAACAATGTGCAAATATGTTTTATTATAGGCTGTGATAAAATGTTTATCAATTAAAATAATTGTATACATGCGTATACAGGTGCTGTGTGCGATCACTGTGCCGTTTACCTGTGTTGTTGTTGTACACGCGAGTCTGTTGTCACATGTCACTTGTTTTACCTTGTCCTGTCCATATAAGGTGATTGTTCTAAATTTAGTTGTTACCTTGTGTCAGTGGTCAGTCAAGGTTTCTTTGTTACATGTTTTGGCACAGTTTTCAGCATTCATTCATATACAGAGCTAAAGGGTGGATGTATTTTATATCCAGGAGTTTCAGTCTTTAAGACTTTTTCCAGATCTGGTAGGTACGATACATAGATGTGACAAAGTCTTATTTTGTAATTGGTTTATGTTAAATTATTATATTAATGTGAATTTGGATAAACTAGCATGTGTGAAATTGTACTTTTTATAAAACTAGCAGAATCATCATCTAAAGTACCTGTGTATTCAATCAATGCATAGATAGCTCTTTCTTTTTAAAAGTAATGTATATGTTTGTAGTAAAGGGACATCACGTGAAGAGCCATATCTTTTTATAATGAATGTACGTGGTGTATACACTTCCACTAATGTTACCTTACTATCCCAATATTCATAGTCCGTTCCAAATGTCCAGTTTGACCACTTGAATTGTTCGGGAAAGCCCTGTTAAAAATAGCGCCAATAATGTCACGTGACGTTTTGAAACGAGGCAGTAACCACAGGTGGTCTGACCGAGATGCAAAGTTTCCAAAGGGACCCCCAGAGAGGGGCCGTCAGGCAACTGCAACTTCTTACCACACTATGAAACCATGGAATATTATTTCCAAGTCCGTGTTGAAACTTATTGAATCCCCTCAGCAGTAATTATTCATCATCAGAAGTTAATTGCACACATGCCAATATTCAAAATTTAAATGAAGAAATATTTGTTGGCATCTCAGCATTATTTATAGACACCAGGAAATATCTATTACCGAAATGTGACCAGTACAATTAAGTACGGGGCAAAACACCTTCCCTCAACCATGGGACAAACCCTTCTGTAAAAAATGAATATTCACAAGACAAATATCCTCTTTCAATGTTTTTATAGAGTATATATATATGCATTGACAAGCATAAACAAGAATTCTTCGGGAGTGGATGTGTCGCCTGCTCAGCGCTTTAGTAGGAAAAGTGTTTTGGCTTGAGCTATCACGTAAACAGATATGCCAAAACACAAAAAGTTGAAATTTGACAGAAAAACCTGTAATATATGTTGAACCTTCTAGCATTACCATACCAAATTTGAAAGGAATTGATTAAAAAATAAAAATGATCTTGCATTTACTGCACAATTCCCTTATTTGGCAATAAAAGGGGCATAACTCCACCAAAATGCAGGTAAACTTCTAAAATGCTGATAAACTTCCATGCTATATTTGAATGCAACATGTGTTCCAAGTTTGAGTTCGATCAACCAAAGGGAACTCAAGTTATCGCACGGAAACCTTGTTTCGGACAATGCAACCTACGACGCAGACAAATTGCAGGCGACACAAAAAGAGAAATGTTTGTGATTATTTTTTTATTACAACTCAATGTCTTTCGCTGCTTTTTTCTGGACAATTGCATTATATATATTCATGTGTACATGTAGAATATGTGTCAGATATGGAACGTGTTGAGATACTTGATAATTATATGTTTTCAATACTTCAAGAGATTAAAGCATACTTGGAAATGGACCCTCTTTTATGTTGAGACAAGTTTTCTTTAATCATTTCCTTTTGTTCGAAACGGAAGACGTAGTTATCGGCCGTAGCGCCATTTTTACAACGTAAACAAATGATCTTTCCCCCTTTTCAATGCGTATACCGATTCTATATGAAGTTGAAAATTTATTATTTATAGACAAAAGTTATTGCATGATCGTAAATTCTAAGCCAACATCATGTGAAAACATGAACTGTTGAAACATTACGATTTTAAAAAGTATTTTTGTTACGCAATCCTATTTTGATATATATTTAAATCTTGCATGTGAATAAAAAAATTGTTTCCTTCAGCAATATAATTAAATCATACCATTTCACTGGACCCGGGAATATTATAAATGATGTAAATCTAATAGTGCACGCATCTCATGTGACCCCGAGTACCAACGGAGGAGATTACAACATCACAACAGTTATCCCTTGGAGGGCCCCATAGCAATATCAAACTTTCGCATGAACTACTGTTATAGAAACGCAAAGTAAACTCTTTCCGATATATGTCCATTTACAAAACAAAATAACTTCATCTGTGCTCCAACTTAGACAAAGATACTAGCCAGGTCAATATTTTTAATTATTATTTTTTCATATTATTCCCAACAAGTGATTGGCCAGGAGTGCATCTCGTGTCCACCGATAAAAATCAATATTGACTTGGAGCATGTGATTTTTGTTGAAGAACTGGGTGTTTCTAAAAAAAGAATTATGGCGTGTCTTCAAACAAAGCACCGTCCCGCTTCTGAATAAATTTTTTGTGTGTTTTTTTTCCAGATTGCTTACATCACTGTTTTGAAAATAATAAAACAACTATAGCCTTTAATTTCGGTTGATACCTGGATTTATCGACCCGGGAAAAGATATATTGACCTCGGACTGTGTCCTCGGTCAATATATCTTTGCTCGGGTAGATAAATCCAGGTATAGACCTCAGCCAAAGGCTATAATTGAATAATATTTATAAGTTATAGCATAGAAAGCTTTGTTTAACATTGACCGGCTACCTGGAAGAACACATGCACCTTGCTAACAGTAATGGGAGTTATTTTCTCTTTTTGATACTTCCCACCTGCAATAATGCCTCCGTAACGTAATCCTTGCGTTATATTTGGACCATTTGACAACTTTCCGCTTCGTAGCTGGCGTGGTAACAGTTTTCTCCTCGGTAACACTTTCCACTGCCAGTCATTTTGTTTACAATGAAATGGCGTGCTATGCGCATGCATTAGTAGGGAGAAATTCCACAGCAAATGGTGGGTCAGACAGGTAGAAAACCTGACGATCATCTCAAAATATTCATTTTATGAATACATATCAGCCAAATCCAACCGTTGTTTTACATAAGGAGTCTTACTTGATATATTTATGCAGTATTTGAAGGGAAAAAAAGGAAAGAAATAGGCTTCACTGTGATGTCCCTTTAACATGTAAACTGTAATTTACAGGCATCTTTTACAGAGATTAGAGTTTCCTATATAGAACAGATACAGATATTCTGTCCATGTAAACCCCCGACCTATAGTTGGGGTAGGTATTTATATATATATATATATATATATATATATGATAATGTAGACAATTACTAATTGATAAGGTTAATTGTATCCAATATCTGTATAAGTAGTTTGTATAAGTAATTTCTACTATTGATTATTTTGAAGTCAGTCATTGTTAAGTTTGAGTCATATTCCTATTTTGAATAATTTATTGTGTGTGAAGGTATTAAATATCTATTCACTGAATATACATCATGTTAGGACTTAAATGTAAGTGCTGTGTTTCATTATGTAATCAATTGTATTGTGTCTTTGTAGGGTTTTTATTAATGTTCAACATATTGTGGAAATAAACGACCAGGTGATCCAAGAAATCTGCGTCATCCTTTCATTCAACTTAACAGTACTATTGTACCAGGTAACAAGGAAAATCAATAATTTTACCAATTGCTGCACGAAAATAAGCAATATCTATACAAATGTAGTGGAACTGGACTGGGTTGATCGTCAGCGACCAGATAGCTCAGTTGGTAGAGCATCCTTCTACGAGTTCATAGGGTCCTGGGTTTGAACCCCGATCTGGCCATGCATTTTTCCTCTCCTGTTACAGTGGTGCCTGTGACCAACCCTTTTTTTCAAGCATTTGGTGTATGCTTGGCAAGGGGATACCCGAACCTGGGTTGTAAATTGTTGTGTCGTATTAGGAGAGAAGACTAAGAAAAAGGATGGAGGAATATAGCGGATATGGACTGAGTCGATCGTCAGCAACCAGATAGCTCTGTTAGTAGAGCGTCTGTCTAGAGTTTGGAAGGTCCCCGGTTAAAGATTTAATTACATGTGTGTATTCTATTAAAAATTCATTTTCTACTTTTTTTAATCGAATTTTGGGAATGGTTCAAAATCTGAGTATCATCTATATAAGAAGGGAATCCCTTGTATGGTATAACTTTACATTAACACCAGTGATGTCCTTACATCTATGTTTGGGCCTTTGGTAAAAGTGATTTCAGCAGTAACATCTGCTGTCAAAATCTCATGCATGTATTGACCAAGAAATATTACAATGTGCAATGTACCCTTTTTGACAAAGTGATGAAGGCATCCTTGATTTCCTTTGGTGAAGCGTCGTGGCTAACTTCCAGAGTATCATAGTGTGAAATAGTCACAACCTGGTGCCTGAAACAAAACATTCCATAGAATTAATATTATAGATTTAATAGAAAAGTCTTGAAATATCATTTCCTTCTATTCATTTATTATTGCCTCTTAGCTTCATTAAAATATGCTTCAGTTCATATACAAATGAAGATCAATTCAAAAAAATAATTACCTCAATACAGTATCAGGATACCAAATGTCCCCTAACCAACAGCCGAGTAAGTTGTAAGTAAAAGTTTATTATTATAATCTCACACTTTACCACCAGAGAAATACCAAACTGAGTATAATCTTCAACCCCGGGACAAATTGTAGTATTAACTAGAAAATGTCTGTAAGACATGAATGCCACTTTTACCCAGATGGTTGACTATTATAGTCTCACACGCTACTACTAGAGGAAAACAAAAAGAGTAAAATGCCCTTTGGCTCCATGATTGACCATTAATCTTATAGTCTCACACTCTACCATTAATCTTATAGTATCACACTCTACCATTAATATTATAGTCTCACACTCTACTATTAATATTATAGTCTCACACTCTACCATTAATCTTATAGTCTCACACTCTACCACTAGAGAGAACAAACGAGTAAATGCCCTTTGGCTCCGTGGTTGACCATTATTCTTATAGTCCAACACTCTACAACTAGAGGGAAAAAAAAGAGTAAATGCCCTTTGGCTCCTTGGTTGACTATTAATCTTATAGTCTAACACTCTACCATTAATCTTATAGTCTCACACTCTACCATTAATCTTATAGTCCCACACTCTACCACTAGAGGAAAACAAAAGAGTAAATGCCCTTTGGCTCCGTGGTTGACTATTAATCTTATAGTCCCACACTCTACCACTAGAGGAAAACAAAAGAGTAAATGCCCCTTTGGCTCCGTGGTTGACTATTAATCTTATAGTCTCACACTCTACCACTAGAGGAAAACAAAAGAGTAAATGCCCTTTGGCTCCGTGGTTGACTATTAATCTTATAGCCTCACACTCTACCACTAGAGGAAAACAAACGAGTAAATGCCCCTTTGGCTCCGTGGTTGACTATTAATCTTATAGCCTCATACTCTACCACTAGAGGAAAACAAACGAGTAAATGCCCCTTTGGCTCCGTGGTTGACTATTAATCTTATAGTCTCACACTCTACCATTAATCTTATATTCTAACACTCTACCACTAGAGGAAAACAAACGAGTTAAAGTTAATGCCCTTGGCTCCGTGGTTGACTATTAATCTTATAGTCCCACACTCTACCACTAGAGGAAAACAAATGAGTAAATGCCCTTTGGCTCTCTGGTTAACTCACAAATGGTAACAGTTACCTTGCTGATTTGATCGATGGGGCTTTACAGTACAAGAGGAAACTCGCCAAAAAAACCTTCCCATGTCATTTAACAACATCCCTGAGGAGAAACTATTTCACATTTCCTACAGTCAAAACCTGGAACAATATTCCGGAGAACGTTGTATCCGCTCCAAATATCAACAAAATAGATAACCTTTGGCAGATGAAAAACTTTATTATAACCATGGGGCAAATGTAATCCACAATGAACATTGAATTTATATTTTACAATTATTTAATGCTTGAGTCCAGTGTAGAGGAGCTCTATCGGCTCTTGTACATTGGAAACTAACTTTAACATTAACATAACTTTAATTTTACGTCCTTGTTTTGGTTATTACCAAGTCTTATCTTGGGCCCCTTAAATAAGTCCTCATCTGAGGTATTCTCATACTTGACCTTTGTATAAACCTATTTTAACAAAGCAGGATACTTTTAACATGTGCCATGTAACAGTTAGCACAATCATATCCAGCGGACAGCAGCCTGTTACATAGAGGTAGTAGAGCATGTAATTCCCTGATCATACCTTACCGTTTAAATCTAGTTGCATATGCTGCCTGTGTACGTCTGATTGGGTTTGAACGGTAGAAAAGACATGACCGTGTCATCCAGCCAAGTCTGCTGGACAACAGTACACACCTCATGGTAACACGTTCACGCTACACCTGGAATATAAACAAGATTGTTAACATGTACATTTGTAGCGGAACTGGATTTGGTCGATCGTTGGCGACCAGATAGTTCAATTGGTAGACCATCCGTCTATAGTACGGAGGGTCCCAAGTTCTAACCCCGGTCTGGCCATGCATTTCCCCAGCTCCTGTTACAGTGGTGTCTGTGACCAACCCTTGTTTCAAGCATTTGATGTATGCTTGGCAAGGGGATACGCGAACCTGGGTTGGAAGTAGTTGTGCTTCGAGGGCGAAGACTTAAAAAAATTAAAAGGATGGGCGAATGTAGCGAAGCTGGACCAGATTGCTAATTGGTAGAGTGACCGTCTAGAGTTTGGAGGGTCCCGGGTTCCAATCCCAATCTAGCCGTACATTTTTTCGTTCCTGTTACATGTTCCTTCCTGATAAGCCCAAGTTTCCTCTAGCCCTAACACCAGACTTGGACATTTTGACATATAGATGTCTTGTGTTGGGCCAGAGTGCACTGCTTTATGAAAATGTGGAATTCTCCTAACACAATTTGGTATCGGGGAGTGACTTATCAACAAAAAGATGCGGTCCGGATATCTTCTGAGTAAGAATAATATTATATTATATTCCGTTTTTTGGTCCGGATCAGTATGGATTTTTGATTAGTCACCCCTACTCAACTAGTGTTAGAGGTTTACACGGCAAGATACTTTTGACAGGCGCCGTGTCGCAGTCGGCAAAATCATATCCGATAGAAAAACACTTTCTGACAAAAGTCTTATATGTGTTGGGTCATAGTAGATTTTTGTTGTCAGCACCTCATAACTCTCCAATACCAATCGATGTCGAAGAATTTCACGTTTTCATATCGCTATAGGCCTATGTCAAAATGTATAACTCTAAGGCTGGTGTTAGGGCCAGAGGAAACTCGGACTACTTCCCGATACACAAACGGCAAAATCTCATTATTATAAAAAGTACTTCATTTGGCATATCCTCAAACTAATTTCTTTATATGTTACTCTAAATGTATCATCAAATTGTTTTATAAAACAAAAATACCAGACGTTGCAGACGAAAAAGCAGCAAGTGCATGCACTCTTTTACCATAGGACACAACAAGAAAGAAGACTTCTGATAAAATGACAACAGTATTAGACAATTCTAATGACATCGTCTATTTTGTTTGAAAGCGTTTTTCGTTTTTAATAACAAACAGAACTACCATACCTTTGTAGGGAAATGGCTATGTTGATGTCACTGTGAAGATCACCGGAAATACATTTATAATGACTAATATTCCACACGTAAACGGGCCGTCACGGTTCCGGTTATTCAATTTTATCGCGCACATTGTTCTTAGCAAACTGATTAAAACAAAATCTTCTCATATATTGATATAGCGCATGGAAGCGGCAAAAAATGGAGCGATTATAAGTTTTGATAATAAGTAGAATAACTGCACATTCTTATTAGGACAATATTATTTTAGTTCATGTTTCGTAATTCAATATTATACGTCATCAAAGTTTCAATTGATGCAAAATGTACGTCAAAAACAACTACAGGACCACTTTCGGATTTTTAGTTTTGCCTGTTTTACAAGAAAACTTTCTTTCAGATAGATGACTTTCTGTATATATGATAATTTCGACAAAGACACATTACAAACATAATTTTATGTATCACAAATATCTGATACTATCCTCCTGTCAACATGATAGATTCACACCGAGTTTTCTGCTCGGTAAGCGTTACATTCTGTTCAAAGCGATTTGGAGAAGATTTTAGTTAATATGCCGATTACTAATCCCATTGAAAATTTTGACGTCAATTGTGACGTCATTTCTGCTTCCGTTAATCTTGTTCTTAGATTTCTGCACACTTTTGGCGCGAATCTATGGAATTTCTTTGAAAAGTCTTACCCAGAAGATATTACGCGTTACACTAGTTATCGTGACATTTTCGAGGTTGTTAATGCTAAATAGATATCTCCGTGTTGTGTTGAATGAACTTGAAAAAACATTTTCTGTGATTAAATAATATGACATCAATTTCTGAAAACTTAATAATAAAGTGATACCTTTAGCGGCCGCACCATGCGTGTTTTGAAGCGGTGTCACAAACCTCGCACGTAATGTCTTTATGCTTTTCGGCCCTCTTCAACACGGAAGCTCTTCATACTTCTTTCCAGTTGGACTTTAAAGACGTCACCGTGGAAATGTCCTCTCAGTGAAAAGGTACAAACTGAATACGGCGACATGACACGGATATGACCTTTTAGGTGATGATTGAATGGAGTCAGGTACTATATATTTAGACCGGAGTATTTTACCAGTTTCTGTCGCCATGGAATATGACAATCACGGCCTTTATGGCGTCTCCTTTCATTAAAACAAAATCCACTTGGTAATTCAGGATGTTGGCTCTTGAGGTGTTGCAAATCTTCAGAAAACCGTTTTGGCTATTCAGTGTTGGTACTCCTGAAATTTCCTGTAGAAGACCATAATGTGTAAGTTGTTCTTTCTAGTTGGTGCCAAGTTTCTTCATCCAGTTCTTTCCTTTATGCTGTAGTCGCTTGTATTGTATGACGTCTTTACCATCTGTCCGTATGATCTTTTGAGCTTTCTTTGGACTCTAGATGCTCTTCAGTTGATGGTGGTATTCATAAAAAAGTAGGAATACCGGAAGTGTTTAAACGTAGACGGAACCATTTTCTTGACGATATGGCGGGTAGTCTTTTTGATGGCCTCCAATATGCAGATTGTTTTTTTGAAAATGGCACCTGCGTGTTACGTTTATCTCTGTGTCAATTTTCTTACGCATTAGGGAGGTACTGTTTTGTTGAAAATGGCACCTGCGTGTTACGTTTATCTCTGTGTCAATTTTCTTACGCATTAGGGAGGTACATTGTCTTCTGGCTTTCTCTGAGTGATGCTGTTCCCTCTCAGTACCTTATGAGGTTATCATGAGTCCATCCTAACGGGGCGGTGCAGTGTTAGCTGCTATGCTATTAGGTTTCTTGTCATTTACTCTGATAGCGCCTATAACAAGCTCATTGTGTATAATATTTATTTTGCATCTTTCATGAGTCCATCTAAGTTGGATGGGAACTACGCTGTGTAGACCCAAGGCTCTGTCTTTCTATTTAAATCGCACTGAAAGTCATTCGGCAGTATCTGACTGTAGTGGAATGTCTTATTTAAATAATGGCAAGACAGAGTAGCTTGTTCCATATTTCCGATCTTTTAATCCCGTGTTTCCTCTGTCCTCACCACCTGACTTAGACGACGTTTTGACAGATAGATGTCAAAATGTCTAAGTCTGGTGTTAGGACCAAAGCAAAATCGGGCTACCGTCGTTTTAGAAAAATAAGTTATTGTTTGAAGGATAATAGTCTGTTTTTGAGTTGTTTACTCAGGTCTCTAGGAAATAAACATCGTGTTAAATATGAGGTTCAGACGAAACTGACTATAGCTGGTTTGTATATGTCTTCCTTATCGACACTTTACTTTGTTCTCCAAAAAATGGGGAAATGGTCCCTCCCCAACCCACCCCACCCAAACAGTTGTCTAGATCTGCGTCTATGATCAAAACTTCGAGCAGTTTACCTTGCCTTGCGAATGCCATGTTGTCTATGGTTAGGATCGTGGCAATTTTGCGTTAGGTAACAGACTTAGGGATGTAGCTGCTGAACCATCTGGGAACCTCATGCGATTTGGGATATCTGCTGTCATACCACTTCATGCCAGCTCATATGAAGTTGACAAAGGTGATGTCTTTCTTGATCTTCCTATTCTTTTTCCGGATCATGTCTACTCTTGCGGCTACTGCTTCCAGAACTGTATCGTGCCCCCAAGGCTATCTGACGTCTCTCAGAGCTACTGTACAAGATGAAAATACGTGCTCTAAGGTTGCTCAATTGTCTTTGAAAAGTGTGCACACTGGGTCATCCCGCAGCCCCATGCATACAGATGATTTGATGGGCTAGGTAGTACATCTTAAACTGACCTCAGCAGAAAACTAAGACGGTACTCCACCATATTCCAGATATCCTTCTATAGTAAGCATCCTGTTCTAACACCTTGCCTTTTTATCCACATTCCTTGCTGTTTCATGCCTATTGCTTCCACTTTTTTACTTTCTTCCTCGATGTGATGAACTTCTTGCTGGAAAGGTTCTCTTCTCTCCCTTCTAGCCGAGTGTTCCGTCTTGGCTTTGTTGTCATGCCCAATCCTTGGTTGCCAACTGCTGTTACCCCTTCAATTACATTGTGATATACTAGTAGTCTTGTTTCAGTTACTTTCATTGCTTCCTCACATTTCCATTTCATTCCCATTTTTACTTTCACTTTCTCCCCTCTTACTCTGGGGTCTTTGGTGCTGCCCTCAGCATCATCACCTGAAGTGTCTCTTTGACATAAACTCTTCTGTCAATGCTCTCATGGATAGTTGCAGCTTCATTCCTGTATTAAATCAACCAACATTGTTTAAGCCTCTTAGTACTCCTAGCCAACTCCTGATTTAAGAACTGATTTCCCTCTCTAAGATCTTTGCTCTAGAAATGGGAAAACCATACACCTGTCGTGGCCACAGAATCACAGAATCCGTGGCAAGACTCCGCGCTAGTAAAACCAGGTCGTCCCAGGCTTTGAATGTCACTGGTAGGCCACTCTTGTCTACCTCTGTAAGTCACTCTTCGAATTGTTCTTCAGCCTTTTTAATGGTGTTATTTTCCCCGAGCACTTCACTTGTTTGTTTTTCGCTCACTGTTGGTTAATTCACTCCAGCCAACTCAAATGTCTCATCTTTCACCTTGCCTTTCCTTACCACTACAATTATTGATTTGCTGTGTTTAAACTTGATCCTGGCCCATGTTACCATTCCTTATAATACCTGTGGAGTCCAATATAATTTGTACTACTGTTTTTGCTGTCACTTTCGTAGCAGTCAGGTTGTCTAATTCCTGATGACATGGAAGGTCCTCTTCTAGGCTTTCCCGCTGACTTCACGATGAGATTCATAGCTGCAGCAAATAAGATATCTCCTTTACATCTTGTTAGTATCCCAATTTCAGGCCTCTGTCATGCCGTGGTATAATATCCTACTGCATATCGCATCTTCATGTGGTAAAAGTATACTTTTAACATTTTCTGATGGTGATTGGAACTTGGTAACTCTCCAATGTCCTGTCTGTCAACTTGTGAGGAATTAATCCATTAGTATTTGCTTGTTCTAACCACAAAACTGTCATGTTCTTCTTTTGTTTCGCGCTTCTCTTAATATTGACATGTTATTACTGTTTCTCCTATATATTTAAAAATGATTCTGCGCTCGTTAGTACTATCAATTTCCCCCTGATTTCATGTCTCAATTTCTGCTGTGGAATCCTCCCTTATTTACTAGCTTCTTTGTAACTCTTCCACTTTCTCAGGTCGCTTCTCAATGCCTTCATTTTCTTTGTCTCCTGTTATTGTGTCCTTACTTTCTTTCTGTTTTACCAATCCAAACCTGTCCTTCCTCTTACCTGTGAAACATACCGGATACTTCTGCAGCCGTTCCGCTCTGCTTACGTTCGCGTCCACAATATAAATGATCTTAGTGCCTTCATGTAAAAGTCCTAGTTCAATAGTTGTGCTCTTCCATAGCATCGGTTGCCTAGTTCCTTCCAAGACATAGAACGTTGCCATAGATACAGCCTTATAATGTTGCCAACATATCGGCATCAAAACACCTAGCTAAGCTCTATTTAACTGGGTGCTCCCATTTATATATAAGCAAACAGTTTCTTGTCTTTAAGCATACTGTTACATGAGGCTAATTATTGACTTTTAAAGTTTCTCCCATAGTATTAACCCCTGCTCCGAAATCAACTTCACACCTCAAACTGCCACACGACGGACCCAGTTCTCTATGAGGATCTTTCCCTACACTGAGCACATACGCCTTCTCGGATTCATAGGAATCTTGTTCATGAAAGGGTTTCACAGTTCGTCCTTTTTGTCTCTCATTCCCAGGATTCAGCGCTTTTGTGATGCAACATGTCTCAAAATGTCCAATTTTATCGCACTTCTTGCATTTCTTATTTCTGGTGGGACATCCCGATCTTCCCCTAATGGTCTTGCCTCCCACTGCGGACACAGTCCCCAGTTTTGTTACCATGGTTACTTGCCCCCTGGGCCCAGCTGTTCAAATGGTGATAAGCTTAATCAGTGATTAACAATAATTTTAATTTTTGTGCCGCTATTTTTATGACACAGCCATTGGACTAGTTACAACTTTCTAGACTTGGATTTTGCACTGTAAATTGGCTCAAATATTTATTAAGCTAACCACCGTTTGAACATATCTAGCTGATAATTAACAGGGTAGAATCACGGCTGCTGGACGTAATTCAAAAATATTAAAATACACTCAGATACGCTCAATAAACACAAATACACTTTATTTTACTCAAATAAGCCAAAAATCAAAATGTAAAGTATCCAGGGAAGTAACTCTGTCCCTATTTCAATGCAGGCTTCAAGGCTTAACTTTCACATTAATCAATATGGTACACACTGGAATAGCTTTGCATTTTGATTCAGTTGCAGATTTTGTATTTTAAATTAAACAACAAACTCATGTAACAAAGCCTGTTAATTAAAGATATGAAATTATTTTGTCAGTCCTTTATTTTTCAACAGTGACTAATATCGACAAATGACATGAGAGTGACGTCCCTTTGATGAACCGGAGAGGGAACCCGAAATAAAATTCTCGCACAAGAACAAAAAACGAAATGAAGAATGTGAGGATACTAGCAGTCGTGCCATCGTTTCGATAACAGCTGTAATGTATGTTAATGGATAATTTACGTTTTCCTGAGTGATATGTTGCCCCATCCATTCAGTTGGGCAGTTGAGCCAGAAACATTTGCTTAAAATTGACCATTTGTTGTGTAATAATGTGTATGTTAAAGTAGCTAGTTTCGTTATACAAGAAGTCGGTCTTTATGCGAGTTTTCTTGAATGAATGAAAGGAATTCTGTTTTCTTACTGTGTCTTGCATTTAATGAACTCAATTTGGCAGTAGACAGTAATTCGTGTTTTTCATAAATCAGATAGAATATTTTGCCTTTTAACCGGAAGTTCATATTGCCAGCTGATTAAGTATAAATATAACGGATCTTTGTAACACCACTATCCCTGTGACTTCTAATTTCTTTTTATTTGGCAGAATCATAAATATAGGTTTAAAATTCAATAAGCATATGTCACACAATACATGTTTTATTTGTATGTAGGTAATTGTTGTCAAGTTTCACAATACCCTATACAATCATTTTTGATAATTCTTGGAAATGTAATAAGGAAGTTAAATTGAAAAGCTTCCAATGGCAAGTAAGTAGACAGTGACATGAGAGGTAAATAACAGGCTGATGCATTTATTTAACTTGCTTGAAAGAAATATGCAATATGCAATATCCAATGAAAATCATAAAAATAGTACAATGTGCGAATTGACACCCATGCATCTAGTGGAACTGGACTTGGTTGGTCGTCAGCATCAAAAAAGCTCAATTGGTAGAACATTCAAGGTCCTGGATTCAAACCAGAGTCTGGCCGTGCATTTTTCCTCTCCTGCTACATTTGGCGCCCAACAAAATATACCCACAGAAGGTGGTATAGGGTCTCGTGTATCAACAAACAAAGGAGCGAGGAATGTAGCGGAACTGTACTGGGTTGGTCGTCGGCGACCAAATAGCTCAAATGGTAGAGCATACATCTAAAGTTTGGAAGGTCCCGGGTTTGACCCCCGTTCTTTGAGTGCATTTTCCCCCTCCTGCTACACATCCAGCCTGCTGACAATGCTTGCATTGCTTCACACATTCCGACAGAGTGCCGGGCCATACCACTAAAAAAGCTAGCTTGCCAGTTAGGCAGTTAGGGACCAATAGCAGGAATTTCAGCTCTTCATTTTACCATTGAGAATAAATTGTGAATGGTAGTGTATCAGGAGCAGAAAAAGGCACGGCCAGACTGGTGTTCGAACCCAAGACCCTCCAAATTCTTGATGGATGCTAAACCGATTGAGCTACCTTATCACTGGTAATTGATCGAGTCCAATCCCACTGCAGTAGCTATATAGTAATAAAGCAACTGACCTCACCAGACCAGTAAAATCTCTGAACAGATTCTTACCTTGTGGCGCTTCAGCTTCCCGGCCACCAGCAGTTTTGTATCCACTTCTGTTTACAGCTCCTGTTTTGGTATCATCTTTGCAAGTAAATTGTACAAACAGAATATTTTTGTAACGAGGTGGTAACAGACACCCAAGACGGAAAAAATACCAAGGACCAGAATGTGAAAGCTCCCAACCCTTGTATAGGTGCTGAGGGCTCTGACAAATGGGGCTACTGGTAATTAAGGCAATAGCTGCACTGATTCTTGAATCAATTGACCCAGTTTATTAAACTATCAGAATTAAATGAGAAGTGAATTAATTTGTTCTTGCTTTAACTCATTCACCCCTGAAGACACATTTAAGCTCTTCCAATTCAAAGGTTGGACTAGTTCATAATGGAATTTTAGGGGTGAATTAGTTAATTAGCATTTAATCAAATTCAAGTGATTTTGATATATATATTGTAATGAGCCTGCAGAAAAAATTACAGGAAAATACTGCTAAAATGTGTGGCCATTGAGGTGCAAAAAAGGTGTGAAAGTATTTCCCACCTTTCTGGTAGTTTATGATGTTATAGACAAGACAGTTTTGTACTTTAACATATTTAAGTGATGTTTTTTGAAAAAGTTCAAAATTTCTACTGTTCTCAGCAATGATGTGTGGGTAACAGTGGGCTGTAGTGTTAAATTATTAATTGCTTATAACTGAAATTATTAATTGCTTATAACTGAGAACCTTATAAATATGTATTGTAGTAATTGAAGTCATGAAGTTTGTTTTAATGAGGAGGGAGACATTTGACCTGCAGCATAATTATAGCATACATCTCTATCAGATCTATGCACTTAAGTTTAAATCCAATATCATATGTATTTGATTAAAATGTTCCTTCAAATAGTCTAGCATAGTAAGTAGAAACTGTGGTGAGGTTGGAAAATTCCCATATAAATGAATAATAAATTAGTTTAACTCATCCACCCCTGAAGACACATTTGAACTCCTCCAGTTCAAAGGTTGGAATAGTTCATTATGAAACTTTAGGGGTGAATGAGTTAATGCTGTTGCTGATTTTTATTTTGTGAATAAGGATGAGATTAATATTGTTTCTGTGCTTTGTGTTGAAGACTGACAATACTTCATCTTGGAACCGGAAGAAGTGTTGACTAATTTGGAGCTAGTTGTCCGCAGATAAAAAACATGGATACCTCTCCGGATCCACTGCCTGTGGAGCCTGCTGGGCTGACTCAAGCTACCTCAGACACAGACATCAGCCCGAATACTGGTAATCAAAAATCACAGTTGTATACACTTAAACAAAAGAATGTACTTATTATAAATCCTATTATAAACTAAAGAGTAAAGGAGCATTTTTTTTGTCATTTTGTCGAAAATAAAACATTTACTTACTTCAGGGAGTAGCCTGCATTTGGCTGTAAATCTAGACATAAGGAGAAAAAAACAATGGAGAATATAATTTCATTATTTTTAAAAAGGACACCAGTCTTACCCAGCAGGAACACTCCCCAATATATTGGTAACCATTAGTGTTCTCACATAGTTTGAAAACAGGTGGTTGAATTATTAAAAAACCCACATACCTGGTTAATTATTTTCACATAGTGTAATATGTTAACCTTTATATATGTTGAGAAGTAGCTGGTTCAAATTTGAAGAATGTTAGGCTGCTTTTGTTAGCAACAATCTTTTACTGAGGGCAGTGGCTGTTAGTATACTTTCTGTAACAGCTCGCAGCACAGTTCAAACATTAACAGAACAATCAGTAGGAGATACACTTATAGATGTAGTTGTGATATACAGTCTCATTAAAGTGAACTTGTAATCTATTAAGTCTGTCAACAAAAAAACTATGAATAACATAATATTACGTTTGATAGAAACTCCTACAGGCTTACTTCAGACCAGTTAAGATTTTTTTTAGTTATATTTATTTTTATAAAGAAATACCTGTAAATGTTCTAACTGATTATGTAACAGTAAGTAATATTGATTTTATTCTTTTCCCACAGGAAACAACAGTATGACCCTATCGGTTGGCAACTATAGCAAAGACCAGTTAGGTAGAGTATGTAAGCTCCAAGATCTGTGGTCATTGGAGCGTGAAGGAGTGTATTCTTCAATATATTTCATACAATATACATACTGTTTTTTTTTTGTGCATTGTGAGGTCGTGATAACAAGAACGTCAATGATAATGATAAATAAAAGACTTTAAAGTTATTTAAAAGCTTCTATTTTAGATAATGAGTAGACAAAGATATGCATATCAAAATTCACAAGAATCAAAAATGAAATAAAAAATTACAAATCATTAAGGTAGGATTACAACTTATTATTAACGGACAGACAGATATACTTAATATATATGTAAGTTTAAATCAATGGCAAACAAACAGCTTGGCCTTACAGGCCTTAGTACAGTGTAGCAGATATTTCAAAATTGACAGAAATAACATTTCTGATAAACAAATGCTGATTTTTTTTTAACCAAATATCAGATATATGACAATATCTAAGATGTTAAACATGTAGAAACATTCTCATGATGACAAATACAAACCAGACTTCAGTAAAAAAAATAATATTTTGTTGTATAAATGATATGTTTCAGATCCGGCAGCTAAACCAGGGCAGTGTGGTATCTACAACTTAGGTAACACCTGTTTCATGAACGCTGGTCTTCACTGCCTTATGAACACCGCCCCTATCATCAAGTATTTCCTCGACCAGTACTCCTGTAACGTCAAGTTTGGACCGTCCTTAGCGGCCCACTTTTACTGGCTAGCTTGTAAATACTGGAGTGGAAATTACTCCATCATCCATCCCGGTGACTTCAAGACATGTCTAGGCACATTTCACGGCCAGTTTGAGGATTATAGACAGGTACTTGTCAATGGTAGACCAGCAAAGGCTCTGTCTTAATATCATTGTTTATACATTCACTCAGCATTTTCTTAAATATACATAAATTACATTTATTTATTTATCTAACTATACTGACAAAATACAAAGGATACAACGAATCCTAGAGGGAGCACCAACATCTGGATTCCATATTACCGGTTTACATGTTAACGAACATATAAAGCTTTGCTTATTTAAAGTTGATGTGAAAGGTTTAAAATTCTTATTTTTATTTTCTTCACAATACTATTTAAATAGATCCATGTAACTTTTCAGTTAGCACACATTAAAAAAAATCACATTGTATGTCAATTATCTTGAACTAATATATATCTATATGTCTTTGAAGTGCATTTGTACAATCATATAAGTAAACCATGGCAAAAAAAATACATCCTCCTGTTAAATAAAAACCGGACATTTGATGATTGGGAACCTGATTATAATTGAGGTATGGAGTAGATCCTGAACCTTCTGATATAGCTGTAATGGTCACCACTTTGTATATAAGACTAAAGTATATTCAACCTTGTGTATTGATTTTGTGAATATTGTTTGATTGTAGCATGACTGTCAGGAATTCTTGGCCCTAATGCTGGACACGCTACACGAGGAGACAAACAAGAGTAATGTGATTTTTATGGAGCGGCAAGGGTCACTTCCATCTACAGATACTCCCAAGTCTGAACAGGACCAACTCAACAACTCACTGGATCATATAGCAGTGTCCACTTCCGAACTGACCGCCATGCCTAATGACCAGCTCAATAACTCTTTGGACCAGATCACTGTGTCTACAGCTGAATATACCACCACACAGAGTACCGAACACCTCAACAACTCTCATGAACAACAATCAAATTCTTCAGAACAATTGAATAATTCGGTTGAGAAAAAATGTGTAGATGCAGTTGAAACCCTCTCAAGCTGTGAGGCTGTGGCAAGCAGGACGGGGGAGAGAAGTACGAAAGTCCAACACCAGCATACTTTGGAACAGTTATGTCCCCTTGTCGAAGGAGAGATGAGCTCAAGAAATGACTTCAGTTTCACAGGTCAGCAGAATTTGGATGATATGTCCACGTTACGTCCACTACTTAATAATTCCACTGAGTTCAAACAAACCCTGCCGTCCTTACATCAGTTTTATGCTAAAGAGTCCAAGACTCTCAACACCAATGTCCTCCTAGACAAGGGGATTGAAGGGGAATCGCTCAACACAGACTCGCACAAGTTTGCCAAACAAGACAATGATAGCCCTTTGAGATTAAATGAGGTAAATTTACTTCAGGACACGGCTCCAATGGAGATAGACAAGAACGACTGCCCGAAAGGTCTGAAGGACGTTAACATACAAGCTGATAAGTGTAAGAAGGCCTCCATTGGGATTGCCCTGTGTTTTGTTGAACAGGACTCGCTGACTGGTCAAACCACTAAGAAAAACACTGATGGTGGATCAATGTGCTTTGATCCAGATGTAGATAGTGTGAAGCGGATGAAATTTGAAACCACCGAAAAAAATTTCCAACATCAAGCGTTCAGTAAGCTCAACAGAAACGTGTCAGATTTAGAGGGTTCCTGCAGCACGGCATTACAAGACATTAAAATCAGAGCTGATGTCATCGCTGACAGTCCAAAATCCACAGACACAGATATCAAACTAGAGGACGAGGTCGAGTCAAGTTCAATCCTCGGTCTGTCAGAGTCAGTTGGAGCCCAGCAGTTGGAGGAAGATGAAGACGAGGAGGATGATGATGAAGATGAAGAAGATGCTTTGTGTGATGCAGCTGATCAGGCGTGGGACTCCTACATCAAACGACATAACAGTATAGTTGTGTCCACATTCCAGGGCATGTTTAAGTCTACGGTGAGTTTCGTGGTTGTCCACATTCCTTGGCATGTTTAAGTCTACAGTGAGTTTCGTGGTTGTCCACATTCCAGGACATGTTTAAGTCTACGGTGAGTTTGGTGGTTGTCCACATTTCAGGACATGTTTAAGTCTACAGTGAGTTTGGTGGTTGTCCATATTCCAGGGCATGTTTAAGTCTACGGTGAGTTTTGTGGTTGTCCACATTCCAGGACATGTTTAAGTCTACGGTGAGTTTGGTGGTTGTCCACATTTCAGGGCATGTTTAAGTCTACAGTGAGTTTTGTGGTTGTCCACATTCCAGGGCATGTTTAAGTCTACGTCGGGTTTCGTAGTTGTCCACATTCCAGGACATGTTTAAATCTATGGTGAGTTTCGTAGTTGTCCACAATCCAGGACATGTTTAAATCTACGGTGAGTTTCGTAGTTGTCCACAATCCAGGGCATGTTTAAGTCTACGGAGAGTTTTGTGGTTGTCCACATTCCAGGGCATGTTTAAGTCTACGGCGAGTTTCGTAGTTGTCCACATTCCAGGACATGTTTAAATCTATGGTGAGTTTCGTAGTTGTCCACAATCCAGGAAATGTTTAAATCTACGGTGAGTTTCGTAGTTGTCCACAATCCAGGAAATGTTTAAATCTACGGTGAGTTTCGTAGTTGTCCACAATCCAGGAAATGTTTAAATCTACGGTGAGTTTCGTAGTTGTCCACAATCCAGGGCATGTTTAAGTCTACGGTGAGTTTGGAGGTTGTCCACATTCCAGGGCATGTTTAAATCTACGGTGAGTTTGGTGGTTGTCCACATTCCAGGGTATGTTTAAGTCTACAGTAACTCAAGTTAGTGGTACATGTATTGACATCTCAAGGTTTGTTAGAGAGTACGATGAATTACAAGGGTGTTCACATTTCTGGGTATGTGTTGCAAGTGTGTGCTGTCCACATTCAAGGGAGTGCTTTTCTCCCTTATTGAAATAAGATGTCATATATGTAAGTAGAGACAGCAACAGCAAAATAACTACTTCTACTACCTTACCAGAGAAACACACGGGAGGAATTGAAGGTCAAATATAAGGAACAGGGAGCTTTATTTGGTTAAAAATAGTATAGGATTGTCAGATTTTAGTGCCAAACAATTTCAGTATTGCTTCAGAGTGAAGATCATGTTCCTATTTCTATGTTCTTTACTAATGCAAGCTGTAGTGATAAATTCTCCCTCAATATGGAGGGTGAAAAAGGTGGAAGTGAAACTGTGGCAAAAATTTCCCAGTACACATTATTGAAATATGTGCATTTATTATCTATCTGGTTATGTTAGTGAAGTTTATTAATTTGGTTTCATTTCAGGTGATCTGCTCCGACTGTAGTCATGTATCTGTGACCTTTGAACCTTTCATGTACCTGTCTATACCTCTCCCACATAGCATGGAGCGACAAATATGTAAGTCATACCAAAATATAGAAATCACATGATGTGGATCTAGGTCACATAATGTTAGTATTATAAAGTCAAACCCTGTTTCCAACTTGTTTTGTTAGGACATCAGTAAAGTCCAATATGGAGGGGTTTTCAGATTATCAACGTAAAAGATACATAAATAAACAACACTGAACAAAAAAGTGACCAAGATCAAAAGCATAGTCATGTACATACAGCATAAGACACTTACCTCATTTGATTTTTATTTTCAAAACCAATGTATCAACAATTCTTACCAGACATTTTACAGTTAGTTATTCTAAATTGAATTGAAACATTTGAAAAAATCCTGTGAAGAGGTCAATTTCTTTTTGCATTAATTTGCTGTCATAGCGTGCTTATTTTTACATGTGTTAGATCAAGGGTTTAAATGAAGTGTGATATGGTGTTAGTTGACATATGTATTTATTTATATATTCACAGGTGTATGGGTGATGCCTGTCACTGGCATTCCAACCAAGTACTTACTAACTCTACACAAAAATGACAAGATCCGCACCGTCAAAGAACAGCTGAAGGCTTACACTGGAGAGCAGGATCTTGTCATGACTGAAGTGTTGGAGGGACATATAGCCAAGACTCTGGTGAGAAATACCTTGAAATGCTGAATAAATAAAAAGATTTAACTGATATCCATATTTGTCATTATTAGATACTGTTGACAAGGCTCCCAAACCACAATAACTTCTACTGTGTATTTCTGTTTTCCTTGACAAGTTGCCAACATTGCTGATTTTATATTTCTGTTTTCCCATAGGATGACAACGTTGCACTGCGATTTGTGAATGACACCACACGATTAGTGTTTGCATACCAAATGCCACCACCGCCCGAAAGTGCTAAACAATCAAACACCAGTGATAACCAGGCTGACGTCTTCAGCAAGATGGACACTTTTGTACCAGGAGTGTCACAGCTGGAGGACAAAAGCCTCAGTCTAAACGCTGATGTGTATACACCAGACCACGTGTGTAATCAAGACGACAACCAAGGGGGAAATTATATAGAAGTTACAGAGAGTATGATGGGTGAATCTACTGTGATATCTAATGTGGTTTCTGGACAGGAGGAGTGTGACCCCTCTGTGACCTTGACAGTTGAGATGGCAGTAGACAGTATGGAGGTGGAGCCTCCGCCAAGAACTGACCTTTCTCTGTCAGACGACAACCCATACATGATGGATGCTGGGTCCTCCCAACTCCAGCCTGATCTCTCAAACACTGCTTTATGGGGAGAACAGAACGAAACCTCGGCTAGCTGGGGTTATCACCCTACTTCTCCCGAAAATCCAGTCATGTCCGAAACCTTTCCATCTTCAGCAACACAGGAATCTATTGAGACGTGGATTTCGGATAATATGCCTGTGACAGACGGTTCCGGGTCAACAGTAGCTCCCTCTGTGGTGACCCCTGACCAGTGGAAGTCATGTGCAATTTGTCTTGAGGATCTGATGGATATTGAGCTGATGGTCCACCAGCAGTGCGGCGGTACCTTCTGTCAGACTTGTCTAGAGGTAGGTATTTTTAGGTCACCTGAGGCAAAGTCTGATGAGATCGCCTTTTATCTGTCATCATATGCAGGGGTGTAATATCCCACTCACCTGACACCTCGGACATTCAGCTTTAAAGCTCTGTAAGTGCAGAAAGTTGGCTCACTTGCCTAGGGCAGGTGCAATGAACTGGTTTACCCAGGGGCTGATGGGTGGGGCCAAAAAGGGTCGAATTGACTGAAATTTCAAAAATCTCCTTCTCAAGACCCAGATATGGTAGAATCAAATACTCTTCAAAGATGGAAGGGTCTTAAGGTGCTTTACCAAAATTGTGAATTTCATGACCCTGGGGTCTAATGTTTCCCCCTGGGGAGGGGGTAAACTTTACTTTAGTTTATATAGGGAAATCACATTTTGGACTAACATTTGTATAATTTCCATTGGAAGTCATTCAATTTGGGTTATCATTATCAGTATTGGGTAGCAGATTGATGGTATGCACATATCAGCCCTGACTGACCCCCCGGGGCTGATGGGTGGGGCGAAAAAGGGTTGAATTGACTGAAATTTCAAAAATCTTCTTCTCAAAGATGGAGATATGGTAGAATCAAACACTCTTCATAGATGGAAGGGTCTTAAGGTTTATGACCATAGGGTCTCATGTTTACCCCCTTGGGAAGGAGGGGGCAAAATCTGTTATGGTTTATAATGGCAAATGATACTTTGAATATTACATGTTAATAACTTGATTGGAATTATAACCCTGAGTTGACAGTTTGATACTTAGCCCCAAGGGCTGTAGGGTGGGGCCCAAAGGAGTCAATGTACTAAAATTTCTTCATTTTCCTTGTTTAGAATCAGAGGTGCTAGTTTCAAATACTTTTTAGTCTTAAATCTGTATGCTAGATATTGAATAAGCTTTTTTTATTGTTTTTTGTCACTTTGAATAATATTTCTGTTCGTGTTAAAAACAAAATCAACTCTCTGTGTAAATATATCAGGTGACCATAATTAAGGCCCATGGGTCTCTTGTTTTATTTACTTAACTATTGTACTAGTTAACTATTGAGGGACATTGTTATGGCCTGAAAAACATATCGGTTTATGAACAGGAAGTTGCAATGGTGTGATAATAACCGTACAGATCCAGACTCGGATATTGGGAATTAATAAATAAACCAACTTAATATTTTTTTTTATATGAAATAGAAAAATATAAGTAAAGAAATCCATCACTGCAACAGAATTGTAAATAATCTACATTATAATATTGTAGTAACTGAGAAAAGCACTTTAAAACATTTCGTAAGACGATGTCTTTTTGTCTGTAAAAATAAAATATGCATTATGGAACAAGTAGAAATTATCTTCGAGCAAGTGAATTTGTAAGGTCTACTTGTCCAGGACAAGTGCTTCGATATTGCAAGTCATCCGAGCGTAAACAATTCAGATCCTGGACTTATTCTCAAAAATCACAGAATCAATTTAAATAAAAAATTGATAGCCAAAAACAAAACAAAATTATGAATTACATTGATCTTCCTTCCGACTTGCTTTAATTGCATCATAAGTAATTGCTCTTTTCCTTTCGTATTACAGATGTCAGTGAGGCATTACGGAGAGGAAAGTTACACATGCCCAGTAAGTATTACATGTTTGTTGGACCGTGAAAATAGCTAACTTTACAAAACCCATTACTGTCTGACGGCATTGTGGAAAGGAACAATTGAATTATTCAGTACTTTCTATAATGATACTACAGTTGTATTATCAAATTTCCATGTTTGATTAATTGTTTTGAAAACTTATACATTTTCAAAAACTATTTAGTGAACATATCTATAGACTCTAAAAGCATAGAAAGTTATATGCATGTCCAAATTTCTATATCTTAACATCTCTAGTGTAAATTTTATATAGGTTATACAGCAGTTTCTAACTTCTGTTTTATCTCGTCACTTTTACTGGGGATAAAGTTGTGTAGATGATCGCGGATCTTGGCTCTACTGCTGGTACTACCTACTGTGTTTTATATTTTCTTTGTCTTTCTCCATTGTGTACCATGTATGGGGCAAAAAGATGATGTCGTCGGTAAAATCCTTTATAATACCTGTATCCTTATGAACTTATGTGAACTACTAAGTATGTGTAGTGTATGTTTATTGTACTATTATGCCTTATTTCAGGTTTGCTCAGCGCCTGCTGTTCTAACAGAGGACTTCATTTCTCTAGGGGCAGACAACTCTGATCAGCCTGTCAAAATCCGGTAAGGTGCCCTGAATTGCAGTTACTGTAGAAAAGTGGTTATCAACTACTCACTGTGGACAGCGTGATGTACAATTGAACCTCGTCATCTCAAACTGTTTTAACTCCAAGACCCTGTTTATCTCGAAATATTTCTCCGGTCCCCGTCAAATCTCTTTTTAGGTCACCTGAGCTAAAAAAAAAAAGCTCAAGTGACCTATTGCTATCCGTCTTCGTCCGTCGTCCGTCGTCTGTTAACGTTTTACATTTCAAACTTAAAGTCAAGTTCTGCTGGGCCGATTGATCTGAAAGTTGGTAGGAATGATCGACTCATCGTCCTTACAAACTGTTGTTATTTTTCAGGTCGATCAGAAATCCAATATGGCCGCCACGGCTGCCATTTTGAAAAACTATTTCAAAGTTAAAGTCAAGTTCTGCTCGGCCGCTTAAACTGAAAGTTGGTAGGAATGATCGACTCATGGTCTTGACAAAATGTTGTTATTTTTCAGGTCAATCAGAAATCCAATATGGCCGCCACGGCCGCCATTTTGGAAAGCTATTTCAAACTTAAAGTAAAGTTCTACTTGGCCTATTGAACTGAAACTTTGTAGGAATGATCGAATCATGGTCCTGACAAAGTGTTGTTAATTTTCGGGTCAATCAGAAATACAATTTGGCTGCTATGGCCGCTATTTTGTAAATACCTATTCAAACTTAAAAACTAGTTCTAATAGGCTGATCTCACTGAAAATCGGTCTAGGAATGATCAGCTCATGGTCCTGACAAAGTTAAGTTAACATTATACTTTTTTTACTCAAATTGGTACATATTGCAACAACAAAAATAAATACTGTAGGACTCAGGTGACCGTTAAGGCCCATGGGACTCTTGTTTATCTTTAATAGTAAATTTAACTCTGATGATTCGAACCCTGAAAGCTTGAAAATCTCAGAAAACCTGGAAGAAGGAAATTGGTTTCAACAGTGTAAATCTAACATCAAAACATCGTCTTCCACAAAGTGTTTGAATTTCATTCTGTCACTTATTAATTCTTTTATACTAAATGAAACGCAAAACTACGGCATATCGCCATTCAGTGTTTATGAACATCTTTCGTGAGTAGACCTGCATAAAATCGTTAAAAATAAACTATGATAAAGCTTCAAAATGCTTTGAAAGTCGATCGTGAGATTTTAAGAACAATACGATAAGCGCTGTTGATTACATCGAGTTAAGGAGGTGTCAGGTGTCACATTTGGCTTTAATGAATCAAGGGTTACATGTATGATAGAATTTGTGTGTGTGCTTTCATTTAAAGAATCAACTATGCATACACTCCATAACAGTAATTTGTTTTAGACTTGCACACTTTCATTTTAGCATTTTATAGTACGAGGTCGGAGACATCGGGATTGTTCGATTTTTAGGTCACCTGAGACAAAGTCTCAAGTGACCTATTGCGATCGCCTTTTGTCCGTCGTCGTCCGTCGTGCGTCCATAAACAATTTACATTTTCGACTTCTCCAAAACCCCTGAACCAATTTCGATGAAATTTTGCAGGGACCTTCCATGGACAAAGGTCAACAAAACTAGTTGCCGGTTTAGTCCTAAGCCCCAAGGGGCCTGAGGGGCGGGCCCAAAAAGGGTCAAATTGACTAAAATTTCAAAAATCTTCTTCTCCAAAACCCCTGAACCAATTTCAATGAAATTT